TAATAAGTGCTTACAGAATGATACTGAGTTCTAAGATCCCATACCTCTATTATGCTATTACCAACAGTAACGACTGTACCAATTGGGAGGAATCTTATTCTGGTCCTGATCTGTGGGGGAAGAGATACACACATTTATATAATAATACATTAATATAATATATTAAGTTATATATAATATATATTTATATATAATAATATAATAAAATGAATATTTATAGAATAATAGCTGCAACAACAACATTCCTATAGGGCAGGGGTGGGGAGCCTTCAGCCTTGAGGACACGTGTGGCCCTCTAGGTCCTCAAGTCCAGCCCTTTGGATTCCAATCTACTAAGTGTCAGGCACTGTGCTAGGCTCTTTACAAATACCTCATTTGATCCTCACAACAACCTTGGAAGGCGGGTACTATTATCCCCATTTTACAGATGAGGAAACTGAGGCCTGGGGACATAAAGTGACTTACAGGTTCCTAGGTTTAGAGCTAAAAGGCACCTCAGAGGCTCTCTAGTACAATTCCTTCCTTTAACTGAGAGGGAAACTGAGGGACTTGACCAGGATCTCACAAATAGCAAATGTCAGAGGCAGAAGGTGACCCCAGGTCTTCCGACTCCAGAGACATCACTGTATCTCTTGTACCATAAAACCTCCATGGGCTTTTACTACTTCAGGAATGACTGGAGCCAAAGTAGGTTAGCCCATCTATCAATACAGGTTCTAAGACCCCACCCCAGCCCCTCCTCCACTCCCTCACTCCCCCCGGCCCCAGCAGCCCCCCTACGACTTAGGGAACGTGTTCCTTAAAAGTTGCTGTCCCAAGAAAAAAAAACCTCCCACTGTGGCCAACTCGACAATAAACCCTTCCCCTGTTAGTTAGACTGAGCCTCAGAGGACCGCTACACCGTCCATCTGCACCGGGGCCTGTATTTGAAGTATCTCCAGCCTGATGAGGAAGGCTTGCCGGGATGTTCCCTTTGCAGGGAGAGCCTTCAGGAGCCTCCAAGTAGGACATTAGTGGAAAAAACGCTTTCTCACAGATTTTATCTATCAATACAATTATTCATAATAACAATAATGGGTCAGAAGTAGACTGGAAAAAAAAACCAACCAATAGCTGAGGTCTGCTATCTTCTAACTTAGCTGTAATATCATAAGGAGCAATGCTTTTCAGTTGCACCCCTGACCAAATCATGAATCGGAATCCTAAGGAAACTTTCATAGAAGCCATGCGGAGACAGTCCAGTAGAAAGGAGAGCCCCGGGCCTGAGTTCAAAGCCTCCCTCTGACACTTTCTACCTGGGTGACTTCAGGGCCATTCTGCTCTCAGACCCTCAGTTTCTTTATGTGTAAAATAAAGGATTCTGAAGTCCCTTCTGTGACCTATGATCCCTCTCTTTTGATCTCTTGGGACCGTCCTTTCTGACTTTGGGCGATTTACTTCTAATCACTCTCTGACCCTCGGTCTCTTCATCTGTAAAATAAAGAGGTTGGTCTAATAGGCCTCTGAGGTCCCCGCCTGCTCGAAGTCTGTGCTCCATCTCCTCTCTCCCTACCTGAAGCGTCATGCAATGAGTGGTCACCTAGCTTGTGCTTGTACAATTGCCGGTGACAAGAAACTCAGCTAAGTCATTCCATCTGGGGACAACTTTCTAGTTTAGTAAGTTAACTCGAAACTTGAGTTAACATTTTCTTCTCTTAAATATGCCACCTTAGTTCTGAACACAGTCTTATCATCATCATCCTTTCACAGGATGACTCTTTAAATACCCGAAGACAACTCCCCCATCTCCCCATAAAAGTTCCCCGCTAAATATCCCAAGTTCCCCAGATCATGATTGTAGAGCCAGAAAAGTCTTTCAAAGTCAGCCAGTCCAACCCCTTCATGTTTCAAATAGGGAAACTGAGGCCCAGAGAGTCACAAGGTCCCACAGCAATTGGCAGACCTAGGGTTTGAACATAATATAGATATTCTGCCCCCAATTCCATCACTCTTCCCACAGCATCTGGCCATGATTCGGCCCTCTTCCTCCTTGTCTCCATTCTTAAGACATGTCAATGCCTCTCCTAAAACACAGGACCTAGAACTAAGCAACACCCTCCAGAGGGGGCCTGACCAGGGAATCTCCAAGACACGGGTGAACTACTCAGACTGTTCTATTTCTATGACAGTCGAGACCAAGAAGACAGCTTTTTCGGTTGTCCCATCACGAGAGTGGACTGCCTGAGCCCACAGTCCGCCAAAGGCCTGGCTTCTCCCACTAGCCGCTTCCCCTGTGACCTAGGGATTTTTCTAATTGTCTAATTAAAGGAATGCACCGAAGGGGAATTTTTAAATAGCAGCTGCTTAACCCTGGGACATTTCTGAACAAAGTGGCCTTCTGGAGATCCCTGACACGCCAGTGCTAATCCTAAACCCGCCTGAAGCTAGAATCCAGTGCTCCAATCCATCATCCATTAGACCACTACAGTGCTTTTCCTAAAGCAAAGGTCCAATCACGTCAGCCCCCTCCTCAGCACACTCCAGTATCTCCCTGCTGCCTCCAGGATCACATACAAAATTCTCTTTTGGGCATTCAAAGCCCTTCATAATGGAGCCACTCCTCCCACCTTACTGCCCTACACATCCTCTTTGATCCAGGCCTCCTAGGCCTGGATACTGGCCTCCTAGCCGCTCCTCAAACAAGGCGCTCCATCTCCAGGCTCCAGGTATTTTCTCTGGCTGTCCCCCTCTCCCTCTTCATCTCTGCCTCCTGCCTTGCTTCAAGTCCCAACTGAAATCCTGCCTTCTACAAGAAGCTTTGCCCATTGCTGTTCAATTGTTTTCAGTTGTGTCCCACTCTTCTATCCCCATTTGGGGTTTTCTTGGCAAAGATACTGGAGTAGTTTGCCATTTCCTTCTCTGGCTCATTTTACAGATGAGGAAACTGAGGCAAACGGGGGTAAGTGACTTGCCCAAGGTTACACAGCCAGTGTCTGAGATCACATTTGAACTCAGGTCTTCCTGACTTCAGGCCTAGGGCTCCGTGTACTATGGCACCACCCAGCGGCCCAACACTTTAACACTAATTCTAGTGCTTTCCTTCTGCTGATTATCTCCAATTCATCCTGTCTATGGCTTTTTTAATTGTTTGAATGTCGTCTCCCCTATCAAACATTAAGCTTCTTGGGGGCAGGGACTGTCATTTATCTTTCTTTGTATCCCCGGTGCTTGGCACTGTGCAATAAATGTTTATTGACTGACAAATAGCCAACATTAAAGTTTGCAAACCAGTTCTCTGTATCAGTTTTTCACTAAGGTAGGCGCCATTATCATCCCCATTTTGCCGACGAGGTAACAGGTTGAATGATTTACTCAGGGGAACATACTTAGTACGGGCAGCTAGGTGTTGGAAGTGGATAGAGGGCCTGGAGTCAAGAAGATTCATCTTCCTGAGTTCAAATCCAGCCTCACACACGCCCTATCTGCGTGACCCTGGACAAGTCACTTCACCCTATTTGCCTCAGTTTCCTCATCTGTAATATGATCTGGAGAAGGAAATGTCGAACCCTTCCAGTAGCTCTGGGAAGAAAACCCCAAATGGGAGTCACGAAGAGTCAGATATGACTGAAACGGCCCGAACAACAACATACTTAGCAAGCATATGAGAAAAGAGACAAACTTGCATCTTCCTGACTCCAAGGCCAGCACTCCATCCATTATGCCAGCCAGCTGCCCCGAAGATAGAATTCCATTCTTGCACTGCTGCTCAGCTACGTGAAAAATAAGGCTGATGCTGTAATACCACAAATAAGAAAGGTATGGGATAAGAAAAACAAATCTTAAAACCAAATCTTTGTCTCTCTATGCTTGGCACTGGTCAGGGCCTGACCAGAGAATGGTGACCAGCCCCGACCTTGGTAATAAGAGTTAACATAAACTCCCTTCTCAAGAATTCAAGGTAAATTTTTTTAAAAATAATTAAGTTCTTAGAAAAATAGGCTAAGGAAAAACGAAAGGACCCATGATTTCATTTGTCATGGACCCCACCATTATTTCAGTTTCTCAAGTTTTCAACCTAAATTTTTTTCACACTCTCTTACCCCTGCCATGACCTAATCAGTTGCAAAAGCCCTGTCTACTCTATCTCCTCAACAGCCATCCTTTGTGTCTCCTCACACCAGGGCCTTCATCTGTCACCTAGACTATTGAAACGGGCTCCTCCTGGTCTTAACTCCATTCATTCTCCTCCCACTCCAGCCCATCCTCCATTCAGCTGCCAAAGTGAGCTTTCTGAAGCCCAGGTTCCGACCACGCCACTGCTGTGCTCCAGAAACTTCAATGCCTTCCCGTTGCTAACAAGATCAAATACAAATTCCTGTTTGGCTGCCTGAGCTTTTCAGAATCTGACTTCAGCCTATTTTAACAGGCTGATTCAAGGATTAGGGGTGGTTACAGTGCCCTGATATCCAGGAAATCCTAAAAGAGCCTTAAGATCTCCAGTCAATTGTACAAATTCTCTACAGAGGATCCATCAAAAGAGAAGGGCAATGAGTGAACCAGAGAAGAGACTGAACGATTATGAGTTGCAATCTGCACCAGTGAAGGGGGTACCACATCAATGAGATTATGACAATACTGCTGCATGGAAATAATAATTTATATAGTCCTTTCCATGTTATCTCACTTGATACCATAACCCAGTGGTAAATGCTACTGTAGTATCCATTTTACAGATAAAGAAATTGACACTGAGAGATTAAACAATATATTCTCTCTCTCCATATATATATAAAGATATACACATTCCCCTTTTTTTCTTTGTATGTTGAAATGTTTGTTAAGTACATGACCAAAAAAAGAAAATTTTACAAAGTCAACTACTGAGAAGTCAACACAAAAGTTTTAATTCCAAAATGTTTCACATGTAATCTATATTATATCCAGAACCAAATTAAATAGCTTCCAAACTACATTCCAAAGGCTGGGGATAGCTCATTCAAATAATTCTCAGGTCACACAAGTCAAACCACAAATACAGATGAATTTATTAATGTTCATGGAGAACCCTGAGTGTATCTGGTCAAGCAAAATAACTGTCCACATGTACAAAAATGGAGTAAAAGTCCCTGTGTCAAATGCTGACCATGTAGATCACTGCTGCTGAGAAATCTGATCTTGCTCTTCTCTGGATTTCAGCCCCAAAAGCTCTGTCTTGAGTTCACCACGTTTTGGGGGGACTTTAGGTATAGTCTGAAAAGAAATCACAGATATCAATACTGAGCCTCAAACTACAATGACAAGGGAGCGTCCAGAGACAGCATACAAATCCAGTGGGTACCAGGTAACTTCATAGAGCCCTTTAAAATTTGCAAAACACCTTACATGTATTACATATATTATCTCACCTACAAACATTTAAGTGTAGCTTGGCAGAGTAAAGAGGTGACCTTGGAGCTAGTTAGATCTGGGTGAAAGCTGGGCAAGTCACTTGACCTCTTTATATCCAAGACAATTCTCCAAGGCCACCGTTCTTAATGATCTGAGTGTGTGTGTGTTGTGGGCCCCCTGGTAATCTCTCCATCCCCAGTGCTTAGCACAGTGCCCAGCACATAGTAGGTGCTTAGTAAATGTTTACTGATTGATGCTTGTGTCCCTCGTTAGACTGTGAGCTCCTTGAGGGCGGGGGCTGTCTTTTGCCTCTTTTTGCACCCCCAATGCCTGGCACATAGTAGGTGCTTAATAAATGCTTTTTGACAGACGGACTTTTATATGTGACCCTGTCTTTGCACCAAGGGCTTGGAAGGTGCTAAATAAATGTTAGCTGATTGAATTGCTAAGAGAACAAGACAGCCGCCCACAGTCCCACAGTCCCCGACCCTCACTCACCAGATCGGGTCGGTAGTACCTGTGCACCACTTCTGCCCCAGCCAGCATGGCCCCCATGCTGGCTGCGACCATTTTCAGGTACGAGGGCCACGACACGCCCGCGGGCATGTCGAGCTGCGGGCTGGGACCTGCAAAGACAACGGACAGTAACTAAGGTGCAAGCTGGGCAGCAGCCCCGAAATGGGGGGTCTGGCTGTGCATCCACTTCTAATCGACTGATCAATTAAGAACCAGGCATTAAGAGCCTACTAGGTGTTAAGCCCAGTGCTAAGCAACGGATGCTTGCTTGAAAGAAGGGCTTTTGGAATGCAGCTCCTGGGGGGGTGGGGGCTGGAAGGTCAAGGTCGGCCCAGGGCGGAGCCTTCCGGGGCCTGGCTGTCTGCAACACGTGCTCTAGTTTAGACCCGTTAACTCACAGGCAGAACCTCGAGACTGGCTGCAGCCCAAGCTGGAGCCTGGGCGGCGGCGCGCGCACCCCGGGGAACCCCTGGGTGCAGCTAGCGCAAGCCCGGGCAGGAAGGTACTGGGCTGCACGCGCACTCCGAAGGCGTCAGTCCGGAGAGGAGGGCCAGAGCTGCGCGCGCACCCCCGAGGCGTCAGTCCGGACAGGAGGGCCAGAGCTGCGCGCGCACCCCCGAGGCGTCAGTCCGCGCTGGGGGGTCTAGGGCTGCGCGCGCACCTTCGCGGGGCCACTGGCTGCCGCGAGTGCAAGCCCAGAGCAGGAGGGGCGGAGGTCAGCCCCGCGGCGCTCCCGGTCCCTAAGCGGCGTACCGGGGCCGCCAGAGTTCTGCCCCAAGCCACGGTTCCCGAGGGGCCGAAGGGCGGCGCTAGGTGCGCAGTCGGGGGCGGGGCTTGCGACTGCTGCTTCCGCTTCCGCCCCCTGATGGGCGCACACCCGGGCTACGCCCCCTCGGAAAAACCTCCGCATGATCCGAGGCTCCTTGGGAGAATGAGAAGGGGCTTCGGCCGTGCGGGGCACGCCCCTTCCCCTGGAAGCCCCTGGAACAACTGTTGTTGTTCAGTACTTTTCAGTTGTGTCCGACTCCTTGTGACGCCATCCGGGGTTCTCTTGGCAAAGAGACCGGGGTGGTTTGATATTTATTTGCCATTTTACAGATGAGTAAACTGAGGCAGACGGGGTTAAGTGACTTGTCCAGGGTCACACAGTAAGTGTCGGAGGCCAGATTTGTGCTCAGGTCTTCCTGTCCCCAGGCTTGGCACGCTATCATTAAAAGCAAGTCATCCATATCTTTTTGGGCGAACCTCTCCAGGTCACCATTATAATTTTGGACAGCCCTCATTTTCCAGGAGGTCCTTCCCCACATATCAAACCTAAAATCGCATTTTTTTTTTCAACTCCTCCCCATTGTTCATTGCTCTGCTGCTACACGACAGTCATTCAGATCCTTGAAGACAGCTAAAATTGTCGCCCTGAGGCTTCTCTTCTCTGGCCTAAATATCCCCCAATTCCTTCAGCTGATGCTTGTCTGAGGTCTATCCACCATCAAGGCCCCCCACAATCCTGACTGCCCATTTCTAGTCACTTTCTGGCTGATCAACATCCTTAAACTGTGTTCCCCAGTGTCACCCACAGCTAAAAGCCTATTGCCTCTAGACTCTTGTAACTAGTGCAGAGTGATTATTCAAAGCTCCATGCCCAATTCAGGAGCAGAACTGCTGAAACTTCGGGAGAAAAAAAATTCTGGTCTTCTGGCTTCCAGCTTTGAGAAAGGGGATGTGTGATTCCACACTCTCTTCAGGCTCTTGAAGAAAGAGAAAGACCCTTAGAAGAAGCCAACATGTGCAGAAACTGGCTTTTCAATCATAATGATCCTATCTCCAGCTTGCCATGTTGGAGACTTTTTGGGAAAATCCCCTTGGGTAATACTAGTGACTCTGTATCTTGGTTGAGCTAAGTTATCTCATTTCCAATGAGATGGCTCATTCACTCTATGTATTGTTAGCTATATTCTCATCTGCATAAATTTTATGATTTTTGTTTGCTACTGGCTTGGATAAATGGGTTTACTTGCTATTTGCTACATGTGATCTTTGGAAATTGGCCTTTGATGGGAAGGGGAGTCAAGCCTTGGATATATAGCTTGGGACACTCCTTCCCAGTTATGGGAGGGTGATTAGTAGTTCAGCTTGAACATGAACATTATTTTCCCTAGACTAACAATATTTAGATGGAGAAGAGACATGTACATTGTTCTAGCCCGGTATTATTATTTGTCTGAGCACAATAAAGTGGCCGGCCTCTGCCTCCAACCAACCTTCTGCTTCCCTTCTTGGCAGGAATCAAAGTCTCCCTTTGAGTAGGATGCGGAAAGACACTCTAGACATATCTATTCGTGCTTCCTTTGAAGCTATATTTAGACAAATCCATGACTACACATATAACCTAAACATGCAAAATTATATGATAAAATGCTGAACTTGGAGAAAACCTGAGTTCAAATCCTACATCAGACACATCCTAGCTGAGTGACACTAGACACATTACTTCTTTCAGCCTCAGTTTCCTCATTTGTAAAATGGGGATATAAGAGCACCTAACTCCCAGGAGGGTTGTTGTGAAGATCAAATGAAATAACTTGTGAAGTACTTTGCAAACCTTAAGGCACTATATAAATGCTGTTATTATTTTTATTATCACAACTAAGCACAGTACTCCAGATGTGGCAGAGTTCTCCAAGGCAGAGTACAGAGTGATTATTACCTTCTTAATCCTGGAATAGACTTTTTTTTTTTTGGCTGCCACACCTTACTGATGACTCTTATTGAATGTACAATCCACTAGAACCCTCAGCTCTTAAAAAAGGGGGAGGAGGGCACCTAGGTGGTGAAATGGATAGAGCACAGGCCCTCCAGCCTCAGACACGTAACACTCAGTAGCTGTGAGAACTTGGGCAAGTCATTTAACTCCAAATGCCTCACCAAAACAAAAGAACTGCTCCCTAACCACATCTACCCCATCCTGTATTTATGAAGTTGAGTTTTTGCCTCAATTTATCCCTATGGAATTCCATCTTATGAGATTCAACCCAGTGCTCTGGCCTGCCAACATTTTTTTGGATTCTGACTCTGTTATTAGCTATCCTTTCTGTTTTGTGTAATTTGCTTCTGATGGACCTATCATCTATGTTTTTATGCAAGTCATTAATATAAATGCTAAAAAACACAACGGGGCAGGCATAGAACTCTGGGACACTCCTTTAGAGACCTCTGGCCAAGTCAAGATAGAGCCATTAACAAATACTCTGAGTCTGGCATTCAAACAGTTCTAAATCCATCCAATTGTATTATCATCCAATCTATATCTTCCCATCTTCTCCATAAGAATAGTATAAGATACATTATTAAATGCTTTACTAATGATTTCACAGAGGTAATTGATATATTGCTTGCTTTCTCAATGGGTGTAGGAGGAGTTGGAGGGAGAGAGAATTTGGAATTTAAAAATGTTTGAATGAATGGTAAAAATAAATTTCAAACCACAAATGCTTTGCCAAAATCCAAGTAAACTACAGCTATAGCGTTCTCTGGATCAGTTAGTCTTGTAACCTGTCAAAAAGAACATAGCTCAGGCTGGTATGACCTGTTCTGGATGCCACGCCTATGACAACTCCTCCTTTCCCCAGGACCTTTCAAATATCACTGAAAATTGCATTAATTAACAAGTTTAAAAAAAAAATTATTTAGCCTTTCTGTCCTCAGTATCCTCAACTGTAAAATGACCATCTTGGATTAGATATCCTCTTTAATGACCATTCCAGCTCTCTGTTCCTATGAATTATCTTTTGGGGGCCTCAGTATATAGTGCTTTGTACAATTTACAAATATTATCTCATTCTATTCTCATAACCCTGAGATGTGGGTGTTATTTTTTATATCCATTTTAGGGATGCGTAAACCGTGCAAAGATTAAGAGAGGCTCTCAGCTATTAAGTGTCAGAAGTCGGTTTTGATCTCAGATTTTCTGGATTCCAGGTTCAGCGTTCTTTAACTGTCCCATCAAAATTGTAATAATTATTTTTAATTTGGCATTGGTAAATGAGAGATTTAGCTTTAACATTTTGGATTATATGACTGCATGATCCCAGCAGCTCCAAATACTCCAGTTTGTGCAGCCTGCGTATTTCATGTTCTGCTAGAATTTTCCACCGCTTGGCCCGTGGTAAACAAGTCCAGTGCAGAGATGCTGAGAGACGCTGACGTCAAGCCCAACCTCCTCCCTCCCCCCCTCCCTTTTTCTCTATCCCGAAAGCCCTTGAGGCAAAGTTACTGGGCAGGCCACGCCATAGGGAAGTCGATTGGTCGGCTCCTCGCACCACGTGTACTCAAGCCGCTCGAGGATTGGCTACCGGGAAGAAAGGCGTGGAGAGTGACGGTGGCGGAGAGGAGCAGCGATAGGGAGGGGGTGGGGCGCTCTCGGAGGCGGAGCAGAAGCTCTGGGTTCTGCCTTGAGCCTGTCGTCTCTTTCCAGCCATCCATCCATCCATCCATCTACCTGTCCGTCTCGGCCTGTGACGGTGCCCTCCGCCTCGGCAGGGGATCGACAGCTCGTTGTTAAGACAGGGAACAGCCGACTGGAAGAGCAGCGCGAAATGGAAGCCGAGGACCTAAGCAGGTACGTCTCGGGGCTTGGCGAGGGGAGGGCTACTGCCCCCCACTCTGCAGCCCGTGCCCCCCCC